TCTTATTTTTTCCCCATTACCTGTGTGCCCTTCACCCCTCCACCCTTCCCTATTTACATACTTCATTTCCATTTTTTTTCTTTTCTCATAATTTTTTCTTTCCCCATCCCCTCCCATGATCATGGTGTTTTATTTATTTATTTTGCCACATACAGAAATTGTTTATTTTTACATATTTGAATTATTTTAATGGCTTCTAGATTTTATTTTATTCTTTTCAGTACTAGGGACCAAGCCCAGGACCTTGTCCCTGAGCTTCATTCTTTTTTTTGTCCCCCGTACTGGGGATTGAACTCAGGACCTTGAGCTTGTGAGGCAGGTGCAGTGCCACTGAGCTAAATCCCCAGCCCCCATGAGCTTCATTCTTAGCTACTGTTTAGGTCTCGCCATGTAATTTAGGCTGGCCTCAAACTCACTGTGTAACCCAGGCTGGCCTCCAATTTGTAATCCTCTTGCCTCAGCCCCCTGAGTACTGGGATTACAGGTGTGTGCCTCTATGCCCAGCTCTTTTTTCAGTATTTGAGAGAGGGTTTCATTAAGTCACTAAATTGCCCAGGCTGGGTTCAAATTCATAATCCTGCCTCAGCCTCTCAGAGTGGTGGGATTACAGGGATGTGGCACCACACCTGGCTTGGCTCCTAAATCTTGAGTTATATTTACAAGGGTCTTTCAGATTATGAAAAAATTTTCTCATAGTTTTATTGTAATAATGTTACTTTGAATTTTTGCATTTAAAGATATGTTTTTGGGGCCAGGGATTTAGCTCAGTGGTTCCACTGCCTGCCTCATAAGCACAAGGTCCTGAGTTCAATCTCTAGCACCAAAGAAAAAAAATTTTTTTCGTAGCTTAGTAAACAGAATGAAGTTTGAACCCAGTTTTATTCCTGATAGCTACCCAGTTACACATATACCACTTATTGAATAGTCTCTCTTACACCTGTTGATTTATAATTTCATCTTTGTCACACATTACTTGTAATTCCTGCATGCATATAGTTTTATTAGAATATTTTCATCTGTTCTATTGACTTTTGTGGTCATTTATAGGTCATTCCATATTGTTTTAATTACTGAACTTTATAATGTATATCTGTTAGAGCTAATCATTTCTCCATCTCCCATACAGACATAGGTATTTAACTTCTTTTCAGAATTTTCCTAGCTATTCCACCCCTGACCCTAGTATATATTTGAGAATTAACTTGCCAAGTTCAAAAGGAAAATAAGTTGGTATTTTTACTGGGATCATGTTAAAATATTAAGTTAGCTAAGCAAGGTGTAGCATTTTAATAATTTTTAATTTTCCTACCCAGATATGTTTTCCTATTTATTTAAAGCTTTTTTTGGTGGTGGTGGGGGGTCCTTTGGTTTTTGCTTTAAAGTTTTCTACATATAGGGCTTGTACATTTCTTGTTAAATTTGTTCCTAGGTATTTTCCTCAGTTTTGCTGCTACTTTAAATAAGATCCTTCATCCTTATATCATATATATATACACACCATATATTGTGTGTGTGTGTATATATATATATATATATACACACACACACACAGAGAGAGAGATTGGTTTCTGCACATTAATTTTGCATCTTTTTCCTGACTTGTCTTATTGTTCATGACTACTTTTTAGTTGAGTCTCAAGTTTGGAAACATACAGATTTATCATCTGTAAAAAATAAAAACATTTTTCCTTCTTTTCCATTCTTATACTTGAAGGTTTTGTGTGGTTATTGTTACTATTTCAGGTGCTGGGAATTGAACCCAGGGCCTCATGCATACTACACTTGATCTTAGCCAAAAGGCCGAGAAGCGATGCCTCATGCATACTAAACACACAATCAAAGATTGAGCTACACCTCCATCCCTCTTGAAGTCTTTGTCATGTCTAATCAGATTGCCAGTACCTTCGGGAAGATTTTGAACTAATGCTCATAATAGTGAGCACTCCTGTCTTATTCCTAACTTCAGTGGAGCTCCCTGTAGCATTTCCCTGTTAAGTGGAATGATGGCTAGATACATTTTATCATGTTCATATTTTACTGGGTGCTTTTCATCGGGTTGTTGAAATCATGAGCATTTTATTAAATACTGTACACCAACAATATTCTATCCTGACCTTTCTGTTTTCCCATTCTCCAGTCTCTTGCTCCTGCTTCCCATCGGCAGAATCCAGATGGGAAGATAATCCCTAACTCAGCTTCCTAAAGCACTAAGCAGGGGAGGAAAGGACCAATAATAGATTTGAAAGTGCAGACAGGGTGTATCCAGTGCAGATGCCAATAACATAACAAAACAGTCTCTCTTTATTAGTTGAGAACAAAAAGATTGGTATGGGTGGCAAAGTCAATCTTCTTGAAGCTAGTTACCATTACCTTTATTTTTTTTAAAAGCGAAAGAAAAGCATAAGGTCTTGGGTATTTTTGCATGAAAGCCTGCTGCTGTCTTACCCTTTTCCAGACCTGATGTTAGCAGGTCCATAAATTGGGTCTCCTGATCTTGAAGTCACTTTCAGGATTGAGCTTGAATGTAATTTCCCCTGTATCTGTAACCTTATTTTTGAAACCTTGGCACCCCTTCCTCAGACCTAAAAATAATGTTCTAGCATGGAAGATATCAGACAGCCCAATTGTCAGCACTGGAACCAGGCACTGTATCTGCTGGGAGGAATCCAGCAGAACACGCCCGCTTTCTTGGCACCTTAGCCAGTCTGAAGGAGTGTTCTGTTCAGAACTGCCTCGGGTGCCCCTTGCTTCCCTGTGCCTGGGTTTGGGGGCAGTGATTTCACCTGACCGTGCCACATGATTACTCTGCCCCCAGGCCCCTCCACAGACTCCTTGTTCTGCCAGACATTTGGGAACTGCTCCAAACGCCACAACAATCCTGGCTCTCCTGTGTACAGGCTGCACATTCGGGAGACATCATGGGTCACAGACAGGGTTACCAGATATCATACAAGACCCTCAGTTAAATTTGAGTTTCAAATAAACATCAGATGATTTGGTTATAAGTATGTTTCGCGGATATGCTTATATCAAAAATCTTTTGTTATTTAGCTGAAATTCAAATTCAACTGGCTGTTCTATATTTCTCATTGCTAAATCTGGCAATCCCCATCATAGAGCTCTTCCCAAAATAATCCTCTGCTGTGCTTCCTGCCACCACCACCCTTCCCTTCAACTCCAAAATCCTTCCCTTCAACTCCAAAATCCCTCCCCCAAAATTAGGTTCATTAAAATGTTAAGATATGTAGTCTAGGAAGGGTAGTAACTTTACAGGTCACAGTTGAGGTTCACTTCTGAGGCCTTTGGCTCTGATTTTTAACTCCCATTAGCAGAGATTAGCTTGTCCCTAAATACATGTCAGTAGTGGTTGACAACAAGGGTAAATTATTGAAAAAATTAGATTTTGGCAGGTGTGTACAGGGGAGGGATGGAGGTGGGGGATTTGGAGTGGCTTAAAGGAATCCATGCAGGAAAGAGAATATTGAAAAGAACTTAATCTGACAGTTTTGCCTGGAGGGGACCTTGGCATTATTTCTTCCTTTCTTGCCTCTTTCCTTCCCTTTATTTAACCTCACAGGTGTAGGGCATGAGTTACAAGCTAGATTTCCTTACTACAGAAAGCAGGAGAGGCCATGGAAACAGGAAACAACAGCCAAACAACCAAGAGCCAGGGGCAAAGTTAATCCGGAGGGGAAGTAAAACCAAGAAAAAAACATTCAATTAGGTGCTTGACATTTTAGGGAAAAAGTCCAAAGTTGGCCAAGGATGATTGCTTATTGCGAGCTTCAAAACCTCTGAATGACAAAACTTCTGAAAAGGGAAGCGACAGGAGCACGGGGCATCCTGCTGATGCACCTCCCTGCCCAATACTTCTCCATTCCCAGTCTCTTGCAGCCACACACACCGGAGACAATCAGCAGCAGCACTCTCTCCAAAGGCTTCATCACTGTGAAGTGAACACACCAGACCAC